CGGACACCTTCACCCTTCGGCTTCACTTCACGGGGTTTGTTTTGTGTTTCTCTGTTTGCTTGTGTTGTTGCTTTGATTGACCGCACCCATTCCGCAGGCTGCGTGTTGTGTGTGTATTTGTCCGTGTGCTCTCCGGCGTGTCATGTTTCCTCTTCTCTTTTTTTCTTTCTTCCTTGCCGCATCGTAGATCAGCCCAGTGCTCCCAGCGACTCTGCTACCACCAACACCACCAACACCACGAGGGATGGCGATGGCGACAGTGCGGCGCCGTGCGGTGTATGCCCTGGCAGTGCTTGCGCTGCTGTGCGGCTGCTGCTCCTCCGTGTGCGGGGCGACGACGTCGTCCAAAGTGAAGGCGAATGTGTTATGTCCGAGCAAGGGAGGAAAAGTACGTTGGCGTGTTTCTGGCGAGAGCAATTGGAAGGAGTGCCATAACAATCTGAAACACTTTGTGAGCGCTGGAAACAATGAAATAAAGGAGTCCATCTGCATGTTTGCCGAATCATGGTGCCCCTCCATCATGTCGGGGAAGAAATCTCCTTCACACCCAGAAGGGAAGAGCAGTAATGATGTTGTGTTCACGATGGACTGTACAACAGATGGCAACAGTGAACTGCACAAACTGTTGAAAGGCGGAGCCGCCACTACTCGAAATGATGGCGATTTACTTGACATTTCAGGCAACTGTAAGTTATCACACCTTCAACTCGCAGATGGAGTGACACCTGGACCCCAAACTCCAGTGGCCCAACAACCACAAATACAAACAGCAGCAGCAACAGCGCCATCTTCGGAGGGAACTCAGCAGGGCGAAATTTCGGCAGGCAGCAGTGCAGGTACTGGAGTCCCTGATTCTAATGCTGCTGAGCAGTCAGGCAGTGCTGGATCCACAGAGCATCAGGAAACATTAACATCACCGACTGGCGCTGTGGATTCATCAAAAGCCACAGGAGACAGCGGGGCGCAAGCACCCTCAGCCTCTGCACAGCCATCCGGCACCTCCACTTCCAACACTCCCGCTGGCAGCGATGGTGGAAGCGCCACTACAACCACGACCACCAGCAGCCCCAGTGGTGGGAAACACATAAAAAGCAACGCGGACGGCAGCGGCACGCCCACTGTGTGGGTGCGTGGCACACTGCTGCTGCTGCTGACGGCTGCTGTTGCCTGTGCTGCTGGGGAGTGACTGCTGCGGGGCAACCGCACACCCCCACACACCCTGGCAGGGCGACGCAGAGTGTTTGTACGCCGAGTTTGCGTGTGGTCTCTGTGGGCCAACTCCTCTCCTGCACTTTGAGGGGTGCTCCTTTGTTTTTTTGCTTCACTTTTGTTTCAATAATCGTTTGCTACGCACATCCCAATGGGTGGCGTCCCTTCCCCCTCCTGTTTGCCGCTGCCACTAACACACGCACGCTGCCGTCCTGCTTGGCTGCGTGGGTGGAGCACCGTAACTGTTTTTATCATTTTAATTGTTTCATTGCTTTCGGTGGGCGACCTTTCTCTCTTTCTCTTCCTGGATTGGGCTGTACTGGGGGAGAAAGAGGGAGTGCGTGTGTGCTGGTCGTCCCACTGCTCGGCGGACGCCTTCACGCTTCGGCTTCACTTCACGGGGTTTGTTTTGTGTTTCTCTGTTTGTTTGTGTTGCTGCTTTGATTGACCGCACCCATTCCGCAGCCTCTGCCGGAGACGTCAGTTTGTTGTAGGCGTCTGCATCTTTTTGTGTGTCTCTTTCCATTGTCTGGTTATTTCTCTTCTCGCACCGCACCAGTTTGTGGTACGCGCGGAGGGGTTGCAGCGGCCCCCGCAGCACACCGCGCCTTCCCGCGCAGGGACCCAGCGACACCGGCGAGGAGGAGGAGGAGGAGCCTGCAGTTGTAAAGCAGTGCGCTGCGCTGGCGGGCGCGATGCCTTTTCTTTTGGGGCGCGGCCTCCTCGACGTGTTCAATCTTTTGCGGGACTGCCGCGCCCTCCCCAACCCCGCTGGTCTTCTCCTGCCGTCTTTTCTTTGCGCATTTGCGGGCACCCACCCGGCCACAGCCACACGATATAAATTGGGGTGTGAATTTATATTTATTTTGTGCCGGTGGTGCCGTGCGGGCCGAGTTTTCCCTCTCCGTGAGCTCGGGGAGCTGCTGCCCTTTTTGTTTCTTCTCTCTGCCCTTCCGCCGCTGTACTCGTCACTGCCTCTGCCTCTGTCTTTCGCCCCCGCTGCCTGATAGATCAGCCCAGTGCTCCCAGCGACTCTGCTACCACCACAACCACCAACACCACGAGGGATGGCGATGGCGACAGTG